CTCGGGGTGCTCCGCGCGCATGTAGTAGGCGCGTGGCGGGTCCGACTCTTCCTCTATGAACTCGATGCAGACTCCGTAGGAGGTCGAGTAGCGCGCACCGCAGTGGCAGCGCCAGCGCTGGCCCGTCGCCCCCGCCGCCTCCTGCGCGCATGAGAGCAGCTGTGACCAGCGATGCGATCGGATCACCGAGCAGCATCCCCTGGGATTGTCCCAGGTCTTGTTGGCCGCGTACTTTTAGTACATGTTGAACGTGAAGCCCTCGCCACGGTAGAACTGGTCCGCGTAGTCGCCCATGCGGCGGTAGGACTCCTGCGCCGCGGTGTTGCCCTGGCACTCCTCCCTCCAGGCACGTTTGTGTCCCAGGCGGGCGTCTGCGATCCCCGAGGCTTCCAGGACGCCCTTCTTCAGCCTTCCCACATCCTCCTCCGCCTCCTCATTCAGCGCGTCGAGCCACTTCTGGACTCCGTCCTGCGCCTCTGTGCCCCTCACCATGTCCTCCTTCCTCTCCAGGATGGGCCCCAGGCCGCCCAGCATGTGGGTGCGCATGGTCTCGAATTTGAGGACGCCATAGGCCCGCGCCATACGCTTCAGCGATTTCTTGGAGAGGCCGAGCCGCAGCAGGGGCTCGATGTCCGTGACCTCTTCCACGGTCTTGACGTCGGTCAGTTACTACTACTACTACTACTACTACTACTACTACTACTACTACTACTACTGCTGCTGCTGCTGCTGCTGCTGCTGCTGCTGCTACTGCTACTGCTACTGCTACTGCTACTACCACTACCACTACTACTACTACTACTACTACGATGTTGTAATTACTACTACGACTACTATACTACTACGACTACGACTACGACTACGACTACGACTACGACTACGACTACGACTACGACTACTACTACTACTACTACTACTACTACTACTACTACTACTACCTACCTACCTACCTACCTACCTACCTACCTACCTACCTACCTACCTACCTACCTACCTACCTACCTACCTACCTACCTACTGCTACTACTGCTACTACTGCTACTACTACTACTACTACTACTACTACTACTACTACTACTACGACTACTACTACTACTACTACTACTACTACTACTACTACTACTACTACTACTGTTACTACTGCTACTACTGCTACTACTGCTACTACTGCTACTACTGCTACTACTGCTACTACTGCTACTACTACTACTACTACTACTACTACTACAACTACTACTGCTGCTACTGCTACTACTACGAGCGCTGCAGTGAAGGATTGTGAAGCATGCCCGTTGTGGACAGGGCCTCTCCCAGGTGCCGGGCGGCGCGGCCGGGGCGCTGCGCAGCTGCTCCGCGCGATCGTGGTCCTTCCCCAGCGCGACGAGTAGCAGAGACGAAGAACAAGACGACGACGACGCCTCCGACGACGACGACGACAGCAACGATGCGAAGATGCTGCACTTTTTCGCCATCCCATGTTCTGGACCTCTTTTGATGGACCGACTCTCCACCACCACCACTACCATAGGTAGGGGAGGGAGGAGGAGGAGGAGGAGGAGGAGGAGGAGGAGGAGGAGGAGGAGGAGGAGGAGGAGGGGGACCTTCGAATTCTCCCTTCTCCCCCGTCCTACCTATGGCACTGGTGGTGGACAATCGGCCCATCATCTCTGTTGCCTCCTGTGCTTATTCACCAACCCCTACGTGTTGCCTCGGGTTGAGGCGAAGCCATCGGGTGAGGATACATCGGGATGCTCTGGGATCCGGCGGCTCTGGAGGATGTCGCGGGCGCCACGGCCTTCTCTGAGCGTTCCAGAATGCTCTGATAGCCTTCAAGAACGCCCTGAAACGGATTGATCCTCGTCCTAGCCCCGTCGCCAGCCTTTTGTATTGACAATTTTCCACCACCGCTACCATGCGACCATGGGTAGGAGAAGGAGGCGGAGTAGGAGTAGGAGTAGAATGAGGAAGAGCAGGACGAGGAGGACCTCCCTAACATCCTCCCTTCTCCCCCGTGCTACTTATGGTACTGGTGGTGGACATTCGGCCCATCATCTTTGTTGCCTCAGGTGCTCATTCGCCAACCCACACGTGTTGCCCCAGGTTGAGGTGAAGCCAGGACGAGGATACAATCGGGTGAGGATACATCGGGATGCTCTGAGATCCGGCGGCTCTGGAGGATGTCGCGGGCGCCGCGGCCTTCTCGGAGCGATCCAGAACGCTCTGAGAGCGAACCAGAACGCCATGGAACGGCTTCATCCTCGTCCGGGCCCCGCCCAACAGGTGATCATTTCACCGTCCCGTTTTGTTGACCTCTTTTGATGGACCGATTCTCACAACCACTACCACAGGCAGGAGGGGGAGAAGGAGGAGGACGAGGAGGAGGGGGGGAAGAGGAGGATGAGGAGGAGGAGAAGGAGGAGAAGGAGGAAGAGGACCTCCCCATCCTCCCTTCTCTCCCGTCCTACTATACTGGTGGTGGACAATCGGCCCATCATCTTTATTGCATCAAGTGCTCATCCACCAACCCGAACGTGTTGCCTCAGGTTGAGGCGAAGCCAGGACGAAGATCAAGTCGGGTGAGGATACATCGGGAATCTCTGGGATCCCCGTGTCTCTGGAGGATGTCTCGGGCGCCGCGGCCTCCTCGGAGCGTTCCAGAACGCTCTGAGAGCGTTCCAGAACGCTTTGGAACGGATTTGTCCGTGTCCTAACCCCAGACCCCCGACGTCATGATTTTCTTATGACGCGACCCCCAGAGGTCTGGACTCACATTCCCGGGACCAGCTTCTCACCCTGAGCTGTTTTTGAACGGTCCCAAGGCCCAGTACGGGCCCATAGAGGTCGAAAATGGCCCAAAACCTGCCCCTGCGACTTTTTGTGACGACTCGATCATGGTTGGGGTCCGTTGAGGATCGGTCCCCGCCTGTCGAAGCGGACGCGGCCGTGGCAGGGGTGAAGCACCCCGTATCGTCGTCGTCGTCGTGATTTCTTCAGGCCTCGAGGGTCTCTGGGCCCTAGCCCCATCCGACAGATACTCATTCACCAACCCCCGCGTGTGTGCGCCCTCCCCGGCCGCCACCAGCCCCCCGGCCGCCGCCGCCGCTGGCTCCCTGGCGCTGCCCCTGCCACACCCGTGGGCTGCTCTGAGCGGGCCCGGTTCCTCCCACTCTGTCTCCTGGGCCGGCGCTTTTCGCGGTCTCCCTCTGCATGGTGGCTGCAGCCCCGTTTTGCTTTCGTCGCCAGCGCAGTCCCTCTGCCTAGCCACCGACGCAGAAAAGTGCGCGCCCTCCCCAGACCCCCGACCTCATGATTTTTTCAGTGCGCGACCCCCAGTGGTCTGGACCTATTCGCCAGGACCAGTTCTTCATCCTGAGTCGTTCTTTGACGGTCCCGAGGGCCGGTACGGGCCTCCAAAGGCCGAATTCTAGAAAAACCTTCCCTCGCAATTTTTTCATGACTCGAGGGGGTCTGGGCCCCGCACGCTCGCGGTCCTCGCTGGCCGCGCCGGCGCGGGAGGGCGCCAGCAGCGCGGCGCGGCAGCGGCCCGCCATCTCCACCACGTCGGGGCTGCCGTAGACCTCGGAGGGCGGCGGCAGCGATATCCTATCCCGGGCCGCCGACGGAGTCCCGACAAGAATCACGACGGGAGGTTGCTCGCCTTTTCCGGCCTCTGCGGCCTCTGCGGCCTCTCGACGACGACGACGTCGACGACGACGACGACAACGACGACGACGACGACGACGGCGGCGACGACGGCGGCGGCGGCGACGACGACGACGACGATACGGGGTGCTTCTCCCGAGCCACGGCCGGGTCCGCTTCGATAGACGGGGACCGATCCTGAACGGACCCCAGCCATGATCGAGTCGTCACAAAAAGTTGCAGAGGGAGGTTCTGGGCCATTTTCGGCCTCTGGGGTGCCTTACCGAGCCTCGGAACCGTCCAAAAACGACACAGGGTGAAAAGCTGGTCCCATGGAGTGAGTCTGGACCTCTGGGGGTCGCGACATGAGAAAGCATCATGGCGTCGGGGGTCTGGGATGACCGCACCCAGCATCAAATGTTCGCGTCGTGAAAAGAACACGTCGGAGGGTTCTTGGCCGTTTCCGGCCTCCAGGAGCCATCGCTGGGCCCCAAGACCGTCAGAACATGGCTCGCGATGAGAACCTGGCCCTGGGGAAGGGGTCGGGACTTCGGGTGGGGCGTACTGGGAAAAATCAGGACATCGCATGTCTGGGTTCCATCCCCACTGGTCTAGGCCTCCCATGTGGGGCCTGATATGTCCCGATTTTTAATTGGGCCGGGGGATCACGCCGCATCGCCGGTGCATCGCCGATGCATCGCCGATGCATCGCCGACGCCAACAACACATCGGCGCCGTCGGCGTGGAGAAAATCGAGCTCCACATCGAGCCGCATCGCTGCTGCATCGGTGGTGCCAGCGCAGTCCTCCGACCCCACCTGCTCCGACCCCATCTGGGACCCCAGGGGGGAGGGGTCGGGGCCTTGGTCGGGCGTTGGCAGAACTGGGTTTAGTGGGACCTGGTTTAGTGATGTGTACTGGGGGACGCCCCCCCGCCGCGTTTCACCCCCCCAAAAAAACACAAGCTACGGCAGACCTGGTTTAGTGATTCTGGCCAATTCAGGGGCTCCAAGGCCCTACTACTAACCGGGTCCCCTTACCTGGGGTCCTGGCTATACCCGACTTGGGGCCGCACGTTGACAAGCACACCGCAGGATGCAATCGACGACAGCGACAGCGGCGTAGACAGCGGCGCCAACGACGGCGTCGACGCGGACGGCGGCGCCAACGGCGACGCCGACGCGGACGGCGGCGCCGACGGCGACGTCGACGTCGACGCGGCGGCGCCGTCGGCGGCGGGGCTGCTCGCGGTCCGAACCGATCGGGCCCGATCTCCAAACGCGGGCGGCTGGTAATGGGCGGTGGCCTAAACGGCCCCTTCGGGGCCCTTTTCTTCACCCCCCCTGCATGGAGCGTGCGCCCGACCCGAACAGCTAAGATTCTGCTGCTCCCATCGTACTTAAGGGCCTCATCCCAAGAGTAACTTCGGGCACTCGGAAAAGTGTCGAAAGAGTGTCGAAAGAGTGTCGAAAGAGTGTCGAAACAGTGTCTCCAGGGCCCGACACGTCAAAACCCTCGAGTTTCGGTACCTTTTTAGTGCTTGAAGTTCTGCCTGGTGATCAATGCTAAAGTAGGTTGCAGCATCGGGAATGTAGTATACCCATCTCGTAGCATACCGTTTCCCGAGCAGCGTGGCCAGAAAGCGCCCGCCACGACGCATATACTACTATAATATTTTTGGGTGCGCGCGTCGCCCCTGGAGGGGCGACGCACACACAGTGTTAGTGTGTTGGGGTGACGCCGATGGTCAGAGCGCACCCCGGGAGACGCCGAGGGAGCAGCGACAGTCGAAACGGGGACTGCAGAATTGAGGTACCCCAAAGTTGTGATTCCGTCGAACCTGCCAGACATGCGTGGTCCTGCAGATCTACAGGCCATCCTACGTACCTGTCGTAAGGAACATCACCGTGGGGATGCACCAATGCTGCAGTCGATCCCCTGCTCGAGACGTCGGCATCAGCTTTGCATCCCCCAAGACCAAATTGGCCTCGGCGTCATTCGGCAGCGCTCCCGTCAGGATGCCTCTGGAGGACGGAAAAAAACGTCATGAATCACACATGTTCGCAGCTCCGCGCGGATGTCGTGGGGTTCCCCCCTCCCCTGGCGCGCGGAGCGCGGCGCCTGAGGCACTGCCGGAGGGCCCCAGCGCAGATCCAAGAAATCGGGGCGGGCCTCCGAAAGTGTATGTTGATGCATTGCCGGCTACTTGCTACACGATTGTCGTCTTATTAGTCATAATATTTTTCTTCGTGCTACATTATGATGGTGACTATTCTGATTTCTACGCTTACGATTGGTGTTTATTCTCATTATTATTACTACTACGATCTTCTTATTCTTATTGAAGTAACTGTCTTTTTATATTACTTGATTCGTAATATTATTCGAATGCCGTGCAGCGATTCTGACAGATGGGCCCCCGATGTCGGGTGGGCCATTGAGCCCACGTCGGCGATGACTGGGAGATTGGGGGCCGATGCGTCCCCACCTGAGCCTATCCCCTCTCATTGTGTGCCTCCAGGCTCTCCGGCGGCCGTTCGGGACGATCCGGGCACCCCCAGGACGCCCTCGGCAAGGCGCAGCTGCTGGAGAGTATCCCGAGGCTGAAAGACCGCGGAGAAGCGACGAGAGCGCCCGAAAATCCCCTCGCATTGCCACTGGGTGCCGTGCAGCGTCTCCGGCAGGAGGGTCTGCCACGCCACCGCGGCGTGCGCCGACGAGGCCTCGAGCAGCTGGGCCAACGCCTGGGCCACGATGCGGGGCCGGTAGTCCACGGGCATGCCGCAGAAGGCCCGCGCCTGGACCGCCTCCGCGGCGCTCGAGGTCGTGAGCCGCCGCATCAGCACCTGAGCGCCGAGGAGGACCAGATGCCAAAGGGCGCTGCGAGAGGGGTGTGCAGACATCAGCGGGGGGACGCATGCAAACCCTGCCGCTGGGGCCTTCGGTGGAGCTCCCTATGGGGCCATGATCCTCGGGAGGGGTGTGCCGAACTGGGCGGGGGGACGCATGCAAATCCTGCCGCTGGGGCCTTCGGTGGAGCTCCCCATGGGGCCATGATCCTCGGGAGGGATGACGGGTGTGCCGAACTGGGCGGGGGGACGCATGCAAATCCTGCCGCTGGGGCCTTCGGTAGAGCTCCCCATGGGACCGTGATCCTCGTGAGGGGTTTGCAGAGCTGGGCGGGGGGACGCATGCAAACCCTGCCGCTGTGGCCTTTGGTGGAGCTCCCTATGGGAACACGATCCTCCTGAGGGTTGTGCCGAAATGGGCGGGGGGGCACATGCAAACCCTGCCGCTGGGGCCTTCGGTGGAGCTTCCTATGGGCCCACGATCCTCGTGATGGGTGTGCCGAAATGGGCGGGGGGACGCATGCAAACCCTGCCTTTGGGGCCTTCGGTGGAGCTCCCTATGGGGCCACGATCCTCCTGAGGGTTATGCCGAAATGGGCGGGGGGGCGCATGCAAACCCTGCCGCTGGGGCCTTCGGTGGAGCTCCCTATGGGGCCACGATCCTCGTGATGGGTGTGTCGAAATGGGCGGGGGGGCGCATGCAAACTTTGCGGCTTGGGCCTTCGTTGGAGCTCCCTATGGTGCCACGATCCTCGTGAGGGGTGTGCAGAAATTGGCAGAGGGACGCATGCAAACCCTGCCGCTGGGGCCGACGGTGGGCCACGATCCTCGTGATGGGTGTGCCGAGCTGGGCGAGGGGACGCATGCAAACCCTGCCACTGGAGCCTTCGGTGGAGCTCCCTATGGGGCTACGGTCCTCGTGAGGAGTGTGCCGAAATGGGCGGGGGGACGCATGCAAACCCTGCCGCTGGGGCCTTCGGTGGAGCTCCCTATGGGCCGTGATCCTCGTGATGGGTGTGCCGAGCTGGGCGGGGGGGCGCATGCAAACTTTGCGGCTTGGGCCTTCGGTGGAGCTCCCTATGGGCCCACGATCCTCGTGAGGGGTGAGCCGAAATGGGCGGGGGGACGCATGCAAACCCTGCATCTGGGGCCTTCGGTGGAGCTCCCTATGGGGCCACGATCCTCGTGAGGGATGTACAGAAATCAACTGGGGGACGCATGCAAACCCTGCCGCAGGGGCCTTCGGTGGAGCTCCGTATGGAGCCACGATCCTCGTGATGGGGTGTGCCGACATGGTGGACATGCGGCGAGCAGAAGCAGGAATGGGAGGAGGGAGGAGGGGGAGGAGAGAGGGGGCAGCGGGAGGAGGCAAGACGCGAGGCGCCGTCTCTTCAAAACGAGGACCCAACACCACAAGATGGTTGGGAACAGCTTGTCGAAGCCAGCACCTCCAACCTCGCCCCCCCTCCTGCTGGCTGGAACCAATGCTGGGCCACCTCAGACCCCCAGCGGGCTCCACCTGTTTTCTTTCCTCCTCCTCCACCTCCTCCGCCTCCTTATCCCCCGTCTCGTCCCCCTCCTCCCCCTCCTCCTCCTCCTCCTCCTCCTCCTCCTCCTCCTCCTCCTCCTCCTCCTCCTCCTGCTCCTCCTCTTCCTCCTGCTCCTCCAGCCGACAGGGCGGTGAAGAGCGCTGCTGCCCAGGGCCGTCTGCCACTAGAGGCGCGCCGCACGCTGATCATGGCCAGCAAGACCGCGGAGGGCGCGGCGACGTGGGCGCGCGGCGCTCGGCGGCAGCGACACCACGCACCGCGCCGCCAAGCCGAGCAAGCCTGCGCCGCGGGTTGTGGCTGGTGCCGCCGCTGCGCGGACCCCCCGTGGCCCAGAGGGGCCGCGGCGGTGTGCTCGCTGTCGCTGGGCGGCGGCAGAGCGCGCGGGCGAGCGCCCAGGCACCACCGTGCAGACCTCCTCCTCCTCCTCCTCCTCCACCTCCTCCTCCTCCTCCCTCCTCCTCCTCCTCCTCCGCCTCCTCCTCAACCTCCTCCTCCTCCTCCTCCTCCTCCTCCTCCTCCTCCTCCTCCTCCTGCGCCCTCCTCGGGATGAAGGAGAGCGGCGCCAAGTGCCACTGGCGATCTCAAGCCGCTTGCAGACAGCTCCCCGGTCCGCGACCTGCCCACGATCGCGTGCCTGGTCTGCGGGGCGTCGGGGGCCGTGACAGGAGCGGCAGCCCCGAGCACGAGTCCTGCCAGCCCTCCTCGAAGGGCTAGTGCGTCCTCTCGCGGCTCGGCGAGTCTCTCAACCCACTCATGCCGCAGAAGATCGTAGTCGAGCTGCTGGAGCTCGGCTAGCGGCGGTGGTCTGCCGCTGAGCTGGCCAGACGCGCGACCGCGGCCGTGCGTGAGGAGGGAGGCGGCACCGTTCCCTCTGAGGCGCGCGCCTCCTCCCACTCCTGCTCCTGCTCCTGCTCCTGCTAGGCACTACCTGGAAGCGAACCCTGGTCGATTAACTATACTACAACTGCCGCTGCTACAGCTGCGCGGCGACGCCGGCGACGCGGCCCCAGGCGACGCGGGACTCCGCGGCTGTGGGTGAACAGCCAAGCGCCAGCAAGTCAATGTCGGCCGCAGCCCATTGCGTGATGCGCTCCAGGGCGGCCCGCCACAGCGGGACAAGCCTGGGCGCCGCCCAAGCGTCTGGGATGGCGGCCCCGGCGCGCATGGCCAGATATTCCAGCGACCTGACTGCTTCAACGCCGAGCCGGCCATACGTCTCCACGGCCACTGGCAGGACCTCGGAGCCGTAATTACCTCTGGCGCTTGTCGGCGGCGGCCGCGGCTGCAGCGTCGCCTGGCACGGCCGCGGCGCGCAGGTACCGCGCGGCATGCGGGCACCTGAAGTGACGTCGACGTACAGCGGTTGCACTGACCCCGGGAAGGCCACGAAGAGGTCCAGAAAGGCTTCCTGGACCCGGCCGGCAGGGGACATCCGCTCGAGCTGGGTGACGGTGCGCTCCATGTCGACCTCCGCCCGGAATTCACGCAGCAGGCGGGCCAGGACCGCCGCCAAGGTGCGATGCGGTCTCATCCTGGCAGGGCCCTGTTTGCAAAGCTGCGCATGCCGCAGGCTCCGGTCCAGCTGCCGGCCACGCACATCCTCGCAGTCTCCCCCCCTGCACCGCATGCGGCACGTCGTGCCTGCTGGCGCGGTCAGGGCGCCAAGCCTGCGCAAAGTGGCGGCCCTGAAGTGCGCCGTGGGGAAGTAGTCCGCCGGCTGCGTTGGCATCTGGAGCCAGAGGGCGCCAGCGCCTGGGCCGCCAGAAGACAGCAGCCCTTCACGCCGCTCCGCGCCCATGCTGGCCCACAGGCGCGTGGCATCCAGGTCATCCAAATCCCTGAAGATGTGACTGGCAAATCTTCTCGGCACCTTGGCCGGCTGTCCTCCCAGCGGGCCCGCCGGCATCGAGGCCTCCGGGAGGAGCCGCAGACCTCCGAGGTCACTCACCGCGACGTCTGTGACCCATGGGCCTGCGCAGTACTCCGCGGCCGCGCCCGGGGTGAACTTCACGCCTACCTGGAGGTCTGCAAGGGCCCCCGCCGCCTCCAGCCTGCGCTGCGCGTCCGCGGCGTCCGCTGCTCCAGCGCACACGGGCAGATGCAGGCCCAGCGCGGCCGACAGCATGGGGACCCTGACGCGCATGGACGCCCAAGCTGCCCACAATGCCGCGTCGGCAGTGCATCCAAGCGCCTCGCGCCGCAGCCCCAGCCCTCCGAATGCCCCGCACAGCCTCAACTGTGTCATCGACGTCTCGTCGAGCTGCTTGCCGATGATGGATGGTCGCCTCCAGACTGCGACGCACAGGCCCCGCCACTTCGCCCGGTGCTGGCGACGGCACAAGACGCGCATCATACGAGATGGCGTGCGCGACAGACTTGGAGAGGAGGAACCACGCCAGGTGCACAGCTGTCACCTTGGGCTGGGCGATCGCGGAAGCGCGGGCCCGGTCGGCGAGGGAAATCGCCTTCTCGGCGCGCATCCGGGCAGGCGCGAGGAGAGCGCCGCCCACCCCGAGCTCTGTGGACAGCTCGCCGTCAGCCGCGCCGCCGAAGAGGGCGAGGCTCCCCTTGGCGCTCGGCAGCATGCCTGACAGCCGGACGAGTTGGGCAGGGAGCTGATCGTCTGGGAGGCTGTCGTGCGCTGGCGCCCAGAGCTTGCACTTATGCTGCCGGACCCGGTATCCGCCGCCAGCGAGAGCAGCCTGCAAGGCCGGCCAACCGTCGGCCAGACGCTTGGCCTTCCTGAAGAGGTACGCGTCGTCCTGGTAGCCGACGCGGCCCGCGCTCGGGAGGGCCTCGAAGCAGTCCTCGAGTCCCATGGCGAACATGACTTGCATGAGCCGCGCTCCCTGCCAGCCACCCCCCACTGCCAGCGATCGCCTCCATCTGCCTCCCGCCCGCTGCCAGACGACGCTGCCGCCGCATCGCCACTGCGCCGCGGCCAAGGCTGCAACCTCTGGGAGGCGTTTCCTACATCCCGGGAAGCATCTGGACCGCAGCGCCCGGCCATACGCGTTCTCGAGATCGATGCTGGCCAAAACATCCGCGTCGTCCGCATCTGGGTCGCCCTCCCCGCCTGCCCGGGACGTGGCACTCGCATTGACCTGGTCTGCCCAGGTCCTCGCCAAGTAGACTATGAGCAGAGCTCCGTCCGCTGCGTCGCATCCCAACTGGTTGGGCTCAAGCGCCTGCAGCATACAGGACGACAGCTCGTCGATGCACACGCCCTCGGCGAACTTCATGAGCACCTCGGCGCACGCGATGGGCCGGAGCTTGCGGCGAGGTGGCCTGTCCGGCTCTGGGGGCGCCCATCCAGAGTCGACTGGCGTAACGCATGCCGCAGTCCATAAACGTCCGGCGCCCTCGGACGGCTTGCCCTGCTTCCACATGCGCGCCCAGTTGGCGAGAGACTGGACTCCGCCAGACTGTGCGCCAACGTCTTTGAGGTAACTGTTCTGCCATCCGCTCGGCCCGCACTGGGCAGCATCCCGAAGGACGCGGAGTTTACGCCGCACTGTACGAAACTTGGGCGCAGCTGCTCTGCCCGCGCCTGCGAGCGCTAGCTTGCATTCTCGCTGAATGGCATCCCGTTCTTCATCATCGATCCCGGCAGCCACCAATTCGTCGATGTGGGCAGCCGTGGACTCGCTCCACGGCGTGCGGACCGCCCCGGACAGCAAGGACTTCGCAGCGCGGATCGCCCCGTGGCCCTGCTTGTCCGCAGCCCTGCGGCAGGCGTCCTCGTCAGACATTGCCTGCCCAGGAAGCTCGGCGCCCCGCGCGGCAGCAGCGCTCGCACTTGCTTCGACTGCCGCCCGCAGGTCCAACAAGTACTCGAAGACTAACTTCCTGTACTCGCCGAGCTCCGCGAGCCGGAGGCGCTGGTTGACCATCGCCGCATACGAGAAGTCCTGCGCATCGGCCCGGACGGCTGAACCTCGGATTCCAGCACGTCGGCGCGCACATGGGAGCGATGTCGGAGGAGGAGGCCTGGCGCCAACCACAGCAGCCGGGAGGCGCGGGTGGCCGCCGAAAGATTGTCGGCGCTGGCGCGCCGTGCTGCGGTGGACTCGGTGTCCACATGGGCGTTGAGGAGGTCCCGGAAGATGATGCCCCCCCTCTGGCGTAACCGACGCGGAACGCGCAGCAATGTAGGCAGCGCGGGCTCCGCGGTGGCCTCCCGGAGAAGCTCGTCCATGCCGGCGGCGTCGAGGCCCGCCGAGGCAGCTGGTTGAGGTGCACCTGCGCTGACTGCACTCCCTGCCTCTCCTCCTGTGCGAGGTGCGCCAGCAGACCCTGCACCTCCTGCTTCTGCACCTGCACCTGCACCTCCACGACCACCGCCACCTCCAGGTCCTCCAGCACCAGCTGCCCCGACAGCTCCGGCACCAGCTGGCGCTCCTGCTGCTCCTCCCACTCCCACTCCACCGCCCTCCACGCAACACTCGTGTGAGTCAAAA